GTGTGTGTGTGTGTGTGTGTGTGTGTGTGTGTGTGTGTGTGTGTGTGAAAATGTGAAAGGACTGAGAAGGGTGGGAGAAGGATGGCTCAGACTGTCCCAGCCTGAGTGTCTGGCTGCCCCCACTTACCATGATATTGGGCAGAGTGGCATATCGGGGCTCGTTCAGCCGGAGGTCAGCAGTCACCACAGCAGGCAACTTGAGGCGAATTGTCTCAAGCCCACCATCAATCTCTCGCTCCACTGTCAACTTGTCCCCCTCTAGGGAGAGTTTTGAGGCAAACGTGCCCTGGAGAGCAGGAGGCAACTTGTGTTACCTGGGAGGGCGTTGGGGGAGGGTGTCCTGGAGGGATCTTGGAAGTGTGGCCATTACAAGGAGTCTGAAGAGAGCTGGGGACAGGGTGGGGTCACAGGGAATCTGAGGGGAGCTGGGGGAGGGAAGGAAGTCACAGGGATCCAGGAGCTGCCTACAGTCAGGAAGGGGACCAGGGTAGCAGAATGTACCCATAGTGTCCCAGGGAGCTCAGAAGGGCCTTCAGGGCATCTCAAGTGGAGGGCACCACACAGAGGTATAAGGGATGTTCAAGGGAATTTCAGGGGATGGACTCACTCCCACATCTGGCATTGCATTCCCAGATGCTCACCTGAGGCCAGTCAAGCATGGCAGCTGTCATCTGTCCAGTCTGATTACAGTCATCATCGATGGCCTATGAGGAGGGGAGATGCAGGAAATTGCCAGGGGGCAAGGTAATGCTAGAACGTGGAACCTAAGAGCTGGAAGGATCCTGAGAAGTCATCTTCTCCAGCTTCCTTTTACAATCAGGGAAACTGAGGCCCCAAGAGAGGAAGGAACTTTGCCAAGCCCATGTTGCTCCTGTTCACCCAGGGGTGAGCTCCCTGGAGAGCAAAGGCTCCCCCCTGCCACTGCTCTTGTGAGGGCAGTACAGCACAGGACAGGCCATCCCTCACACACTCAGACCTGGGACTTCTGGATGATTCCTAATCCTGGAGAACTTGGCCTTGAAAGGGGCAGGGAAGAAAAATATGGAGGAGAGAAAGGAAGGGAAAGCGGGGCAAAAGCGACCAACAGAAGGAAGCAGGGGCAGGAAGGGGAGAAGGAAAAGGCTGGGTCGGGCTCTCCCACCTGTTTCCCCAGCAGCACCAGCCCAGCTTTCTCTTTCTGGGCCAAAGCAGCAAGCACCCGGGAAACCTGGAGGGGCCCCAGCTGCTCTGCCTCGCTTTCGGGCACCTCCACGTGGATGCCACGGTCAGCACCCATGGCCAGAGCCGTTCGAATGGTCTCCTGGGGGTTAAGAGATCGACATGGTCACTGCCACAGCCCTCTCTGCTCCGCCTCCCCCCATCGGCCTGGGGTCAGAGGTTCACCTGGCACTGCTTGGGGCCACAGCTGACCGCAATCACCTCCTTCACCAGCTTCTTCTCCTTCAGTCGCACGGCCTCCTCCACTGCGATCTCACAGAAGGGGTTCATGGAGTGTTTCACCCCATCTGTCACCACACCAGTCTTGTCTGGCTTCACTCGGATCTGAAGGGAGCAGGGGAAGGACAGTCTAAAGGAGAGGTCAGAAGGGCGGCTACGGCCCCCTCCCTCTGACCCCTGCTTTGGTGGGGGTGGGGGAAGGAGGCCAGCTCCCAAGCCTACATCTCCTGGAAGCCTCCCAGACCACCCCTTGTCTGTGTTTCCTCCCTGGCTCATGACATCGTCTGGTGCAGGGAAGTTCTTCCCCAGGTGACCCACTCTCCTGCACCCCAACCAGGGGAGTCCTTCCCCGGGTGACCCCCACTGATGTACCCCAACCAGGGGAGTCTTTCCCCAGGTGACCCCCCCCCATGCATCCCAACCAGGGGAGTCCCTCCCAACCAGGGGAGTCCCTCCCCAGGTGACACCCTCTCCTGCACCCCAACCAGGAGAATCTCTCCCCAAGTGACCCCCTCTGATGTACCCCAACCAGGGGAGTCTTTCCCCAGGTGACCCCCCCCCATGCATCCCAACCAGGGGAGTCCCTCCCAACCAGGGGAGTCCCTCCCCAGGTGACACCCTCTCCTGCACCCCAACCAGGAGAATCTCTCCCCAAGTGACCCCC